GATTGTGTGGCGCGGTGATTTCGGTCACAGGCATGAGGCAAAGTTAAGTCTGATGTGAGGTGTATAAGGAGATACTCCGTACCCCACTCGGGCGCCAGTCCTTCACTGTTCTGGTTTTACGGAACCTCATGCAAGACTCCTGTTGCACGTCCCCGTCGTGCGCCACGAATAATGTCTCAAATGAGCATTAACAGAGTTGGCAGGGGATCTCGGAGCTGGCGGCCTCCAGAGGTGTAGTGTCCTTTCTGGCTCTCACCAGCCCGCCCCCAAACACATGGGTGAAAAGTTTAACAAAACTCAAAACTGCTTGCTAAATGTACCATCAAATGACAACTCTTGGTTAAAATTCGGGAGGGAATTTAAAACTGTGCTGCTGAGACTCAACCCTGACCGAGAGATTTACCCGCAGCCAAGACGAGTAACATCTCTTGTGGGCGACTTCTCGTGGTGCCAGTAGCAGGGAGCTTGAGACGATGACCAACAACTATCATTCAGTTGCTCTCAAGCTCTATCCAGCACCTGCTCCCATGGTTTCATATTACCCTGATAGGGAACTAGAGTTGTCTCAAATACATCATATCAAGGCGAAACTTTTGGCCATGAGAAACACCAGTGCAAGCCAAACTTTACGGGTCACTGAGGAAATTACAACAGACAGGGAAGTTCATACTAGAGACAACACTACAGATATTGATAATCTATTTCAAGTGAGTGAAAGAAGAAGGAGCAGTAGAAGGAACTAGTCAGTTATTCCATCTTGTCCAAGGGTTGTAGCGGAGACTAGTTGGTGGAAGAATGCTTCTTTCTGCTCATTTGATAAAGGATATCCCAGCGTCACTACCTAGTAAAAATGATTTTTTTAATCTACATGGTGATTGAAAGTTCCCCCCCTGTTTTAAAATACTTTTAAATTATTGGTTCATGGCAATTTTTATCTCAAATATTTTGGGGTTGATCTTTAATGTATGAGAATGCAGTCTGTAAATTTAATTTTAATTCAAAATGGGCACTATCTTTGTACTCGTCACAACTGAAGCTAACAGTACTGGATAAATGAAGAAGTTAGGCAACCACAAAACCTTTAGCATGTACATGGATAGCATATGATGGGAAATGTATCATATAAATAAAGAGCTGAATAGTTGAGTTGATTTAAGAACTGACATCACAGCAACCGAGGCATTCCCAAAAGCACTCTGTCCCCATCTTCAGCAGCCAGTGAAGAGTTCCGAAACTAATGGTGCCAGAAGCATTCTGATTAAACATCCGTCTTGCCTTTCCTTTGAGCCTCGAGCATCTGCCAGAATCTCTCGTCACTTCTCACTGCATCAGTCTCACCAGACTGTGGTGATCCATCTGCTCCTCTGAACTGTACACGCTCTCCCACAAGGCACTAACCACGTCTGCCGGATCATGCATCAATATTCCACTCTGTCAGTAAGCGTTTTGAAGAAATCAGATGCTTTGACCGAAAGGCACAAATAACATAGCTGTGTTGTAATCAGAACAGTGTTTTCACATCAGGAAATGTGTGATATAAATAGAGAACAGAATAGGACAACCAATAACTGCATCTTATAAATGAATTATATATTATCTGTTCTACAGTGAAATTTGATCTGTTTCGTAATTGAAATATTTTATCTGTTTTATAACTCATCTGCTTCCGTCTCACACAATAGAGATATTTTATGTGTTCCATAATGGAGGCAATTTATGTTTTATAAATGGGACATTTTATGTGCTTCATAATGGACACAAATTAAAAGTTTCATAATGGAGACAATTTATCTGTTCCACAATGGAGACATTGTATCTGTCCCATAATGAACACAGGCCGGGGTAATGCTGACCACATTACCCCCTAGGGCCGAATGGTCTGTAAAAATATGGGTGCTCTTCCCATATGCCTGATGCGCCTAAGGCGTGAAAAGGGATCTTTACTTTCTTTACTATAATGAACACATGTTTTTTGTTCCACAAAGCAAATATGTTTAACTGGTTTCCCTGTGAATTACATTTAATCTTTTGCATGAAGGATACAGATGATCTGTTCCATAATTTGACATTGCCTCTGTTTCATAATGTAAACTTTTTAACTGTATAAAATTGACAGTTTTGATCTGTCTATAATTGACAGTTTTGATCTGTTCATAAATGGGTTATTTTATTGATTCCATAATGGGACACAATTGGTAAGCAGGCCAAACAATTTCTTGAGGCCTCAGAAATGTGGTTTTACAAAAGAATGCATAAAATCCCCTGGACAGTCAAAAAGAGCAACCAAGAGGTTTAGAAAGAGGCGGGAGCCTGAAGACAACTTGGAACATATTGTGATCACTGGAAAGATCTGTGGAAGGAGGGATAGAGAAAGACAATGAGAGAAGATGCTTGACAGTCTTGTTGCATGGCATGGAGGTGTGACAGCACACGAACTGATAAATGCTGCAGAAGATTGCAGATTGTGGAGAGGCATGATCGCCCAGGCCAGTTGGCAAGTCACCTTATGATGATGATTCTTCTTCTTCTTCTTGTTCACCGGCTGTGAATTCCGGCGGTAAGTCGCGGTTGTTCGTCCAAAATGGACTTTTGGCTTTTACCTTGACCTGAGTTTTGCGTGTACATCCGTTTTACTGGCTTATTTGTTTGCAGTACTCGTTCCCCGCCTCTCCGGCAGATGTACTCCGACTTCGGAGGAAGACGTCAAGCCTATTTCTAGGTTGACTGTGGCCATTGTTTTGTGTGGGTCGAGATGTTGCCTCATTTGTGTGGTGTCCTCTTTGACTTTTAACAGGTGTGGCCCCCGGCATGTCGTCCTTAAGGCAGCTCTATGTAGAGTTTTCAGCCCTCAAGGGAAGGCAGGGGCAGATCATAGGCATTCCCCGCCATCCAAGGAGGCTTCCATAGATGCAGAGCCGACACATGATGCTCTGGTTCTGGGCTCACCCAAGGAATCGTCACGTCCTGCCCATGACTGCTTAACCTCACAACCGTGTATTGAGCTTCCTGCGCTACAAGGCTGCGCTCTCCGGAGATCAGCGGGGAACAGCCTGCAGGTCTAGGACGTTTGTGGCCACACAAATAGGTACATTCTTTTTCATCTTACGTTAGACACCTTTAACGTTGTTTCAGCTGTGCCCTTAGCACGACAAAATTGGGAAGCAAAATGCGTCAGGCGTGGCTTCACCTGTTTGGTCCCAACACTCGGGCCAGTTGGACCAGTGGATACGGACATTCGGACTTTTTCCTAATCGGTACGAATTATGATCGTCGGACTCTGAGCTTGCATGTGTGCCGTGGGGTATAACTTTGTCGGACATTATTTCCAAACCAGCATATGAAAAGTTGCTGCCGTGCCTCAGCGCGGTGACGACGACACTGAGGATTGACAGAGGATGTACGTAGGTAGGATCTTGCTGCGAGAAGTCGCCCACAAGAAATGTTACTCGTCTTGGCTGCGGGTAAATCTCTCGGTCAGGGTTGAGTCTCAGCAGCACAGTTTTAAATTCCCTCCCAAATTTTAACCAAGAGTTGTCATTTGATGGTACATTTAGCAAGCAGTTTTGAGTTTTGTTAAACTTTTCACCCATGCGTTTGGGGGCGGGCTGGTGAGAGCCAGAAAGGACACTACACCTCTGGGGGCCGCCAGCTCCGAGATCCCCTGCCAACTCTGTTAATGCTCATTTGAGACATTATCCGTGGCGCACGATGGGGACGTGCAACAGGAGTCTTGCATGAGGTTCCGTAAAACCAGAACAGTGAAGGACTGGCGCCCGAGTGGGGTACGGAGTATCTCCTTATACACCTCACATCAGACTTAACTTTGCCTCATGCCTGTGACCGAAATCACCGCGCCACATGACGATGATGATAATGGGACATTGCATCTGTTCTTTAGTGGAGACACTTTTTTATAGTGAAATTGGTTATTTCTTTAAAAACCTGACATGCTAGTCTTGTTAAACTCCTCAGAGAATAAAGAGTCAGTTTTAAGTGTTTAAAAATATTAATTTCAGCATGTGGTGAATGATGCCTATAGCAGACTCCTGTACATTGCTGGCCCCACGCCACCAACACAAGTGTTCTGCACATACCTCAACATCAGCATCTGCAACAACACAGAGACCCTTAGCGGTGTAAGTGTCGACTCACATGTAAATTCATCTTGTTGCTGTTATTTTTATTTTTATTTCAGAGTTGTCTGCTCCTTAACTGTTTTGGTACTAAACAGCTCACCATACTTCTTCTTCTGAGTTCATGTAATTGCATTGTGCCTCTCTCTCCCAAAGCCCAGAATGAGTGATTATATCATGCTGTTTATTTCCCCTCTATTCTCTGCAGGCACCTGTTAATGAATGGTTGTAGTTTATTAGTAATTGTTCTAGTTCTCCATGTTTCTGCTCCACGCTGGAGTGCTGATTTGATATTGGAGTTAAAGAGTCTAAGCTAAGTATTAGTTTAATTTTCTTTTGACTTCCACAAATTCCATAGTACTATGAAAGCTCGTCTTGCCTTTTTTATTCATATTTCAATATCTATGTCAGTTTCCCCATCTTTATCTACATTACTGCCCTTACTTGTATACAACTCTACATCTTGGATTGTGATACCAGTTAGAAAAACCAGATTTCTGTTTGCCTGGTTTATTCTCATAATCTTTGTCTTTTCTTTATAGATTTTTTAGATCACTCATCATCATGTAGCAGGTCCTTTGCAGAATGTCCCTCTCATCACAGTCTGCCTGAAAGAAACTCCGTCTCTCGCTTGTTCTCCCACCTCATGAACTTTTACACTCAAGGAGTCACTTATATCCTGTGCCCATCTTTGTTTTTAATCACTATGTAATGTTTTTAGGTCATTGCATTCTACATTTCTGCGAGTAAACATTGAATACATTTGTGAATAACCATTTGTTTAGCCTTCAGGAAAACATGACATGATCACCTTCCTTTGTTAACAGTTTGAGGTGACACTTTACAACCCCATTGGGCGCGTGGTTGAAAGCATTGCCAGGTTGCCAGTGTCTGGTTCATCTTATGTAGTTTATGCTGAAGATGGTGCCACTGTTGTACCCAGTGATGTGAGTATTTATTGTGGTTCATAGAATTTATGTTATCTAAATCCCACTGACCATCGATTGAAGCTAAATTGTTATTAGGAACGCTTTTGTCAGCATCATCATGTGCGATGACAATAAGAGTTAGTGACAATTGTAATTAAGTCTGAGTGAGGAGATCAGAGAAATGTCTGGACACATACCTGTAACAACTGCAATAAGACAAAGAAGGTGGAGATTTATTGTGCACACTCTGAGAAAAGAATTACTAAACAGGCACTGAAATGGGAAACAAACAGTCTGAGAGAGAGAGAGAGAGGAAGTCCAAGGGAAACATCAAGAAGAACATTATTACAAGAGGCTAAAATGCTTGGCCATGTCAGAAATCGAGAACGTTGCATGCAATAGAGCGGAGAGTAGAGGAATCAAATGCGAACCCAATGGGACTTCTAACGGTACATAAAGGATGTGGATGATGATGATAAAAGTAAAGGACCCTTTTCCCCACCTTCAGGCATATATAGGGCTATGTTTATATTTTATACACCAGTTGGTACTCATTGGGTGATGTGGTCAATACCACGCTGGCCACCTTTACTTCCTAGCTCTTTACCTGGTACCTTTTTAAGGCTTATCAAGCCAGCAGCTAAGATCATTTGGATGATAATACTTACCTAAAAGGTACAGATGTGATTTGATTTGACTCAAGAACCAACATCACAGCACTCGGGGCATTCCCAAAAGCGCTCCATCTCAGTCTTCAGTGCTTTAAATTAAAGGACAAGAAGAGTTAAGTTTACCATGGGCAGATTCTTAAGAGGGATAATATTTGCTCCAGAACTGGCAAAATATAATTCCTTAGGTAAATAATTTGTGCAGTAATTCCGCTGAGAAATTTTTAGTTGACTCCATTGGCTTTTAATATTATTATTCATGTCACATTTTACGGAATAATTTTGTTATTACATATTCATTTTATTATTTTGTAGAGTAATTTGGTCATTACATCTTCATAACTTGTAACTGAATAATTTTGTGACTACATGTTCATTACTTTTGTTTGTTTTGCCAGGGTTACATTTTTACAGAGGGGGTTATTGAACTGAATTAGGAATACTGGGCTCCAGGTTCATATCCTCTGGAAGACTTTAGATGTGTGTCTATAAAGGGAAAAAAACAAAAATCCTAACTTGCACAGTCTACGGAAACTGATAGCTATGCTGCCCTAAATCCTCAGGCTCAAAGACCTCCTTCCTACACTGTGGTCAAAAATGGAGGAGAAGGCATGGCAGCATTTTCAGCTTCAGAGTTATTTTTGCTTCAGACAGCGCTGTGCTTTTGCAGTATTTCCACATGGGGATGGAAGCCTGCGGTTTTGCTGCCTGAGCTACTGAGTTTAGTGCTTGGTGCAGCACTGTGAGCTGTATTTTTCATGTGGAATGCCTTTCATTTGTACAGCAGTTGAATCCTGGTATTCAGTATGGCAGGTAGCCAGTTTACTTGTGGGCTGGTGAAATACCTTATGTGATAATTCTGCATATGTATTGCCAGCATATTGTGACTAATTACTTTCATCAATGACAAACTGCATTTCTGGAGGTGACTCTTGGCTTTGGCACCTCTAGCAACTGCCATTTGCATTTGTTGCATGCCCATATTTCTGGACTGTTCCAGGACTAATTGTTTGTTCACCAGTTTTTCACATGTCACAGCGAGGGACATTTAATTTGATTTTCACTGGCAAAGGAACTGAGCAAGTATGGGGAAAACGCGATTGCAGTGAAGTTGAAACCTCGACTTAGACTAAGACTGCAAAGTAATTACAGCAGTAAAGACAGACAAACTGACAGACAATTTGGTTATTACATCTTCTTTTGCTTATGGATTCCGGGAACCCATTTTTGCAGGGAGAAAAAAATCAACCCACTGCTCCCAGTAAGCATATTGTAAGGGGCGACAGTCTAAGAGTTTGCTAAAATTGCATAGGTTTGGCTGAACGGTGCAGATATTGCAGTCTTGCTGTTAACCACATCAGATACCCTTTTAAGTGTAAACAGAGAAGAAGTTCATTACATCTATATAACTTTTCTTATTGTCACATGTATATTGAATAATTCAGTTATATCCTCATGATTCAGGTCCATCCAATCTCCCAAGACACATTCAGAATCCCAACACCTGAGGCTCGGACGGCAACAAATGAGCTGGTTTTTAGTGCCACCCTCCCACCTGTTGGATTTGTTACCTACTTTGTAAGGAGACTGTCAGACAGAAGAAAGTTTTTTTTAATTATTGTAAATTTGTACTTTTGGATCATGCGCGTTACTGAATCATTATTCTTGCTTATGTCTTGTTGTTGAATGGGGCAGAGGCACAATTAGATCATCACTGTCTGAAGAGAATTGTGCTGCGAGGAGTGACCAGGGAATCTGGCCAACAATTAAGGAAAATGAAAGACTATAATCAGACTGTTTCTGGCGGCGTCAGAATTAAAACTTTGCACTTGCTGCTGAAAATGGGGATGGAGCGCTTATGGTAATGTCCAAAATGCTATGATGCTGGTTCTCAGTTTAACATACGACATTCCGTTTATATCCGGTTGGATTTAGCTGCAGGCGATTAGGAAACAGACTGCTTAGCATTGATTTTGGCGGTGGTATGGAACTACAACTGTTCACAAAGCAATGGCAAACTAACAAATATAAAACTGCCTGGTAAATCCAAACACCCACAAACTGCTGGGATTTATTCTGCAGTGTCCTGCAAAAGGATACACAAGTAACTATTAAAAAATATTTATTTTTATTTTTTAAACAGTAGAGTAAACGTATTGGAGAAGTTAAATGCAATCTTTCTTTGTCAATTGAGATAGAAAGAGAATTCTTAACCCTACCAGACCTGAGGCCCTGAACCTAACTGTCCCTATAACCTGAATCCTGAGCACTAACACGAAAAAACCAACATGATGTACAAAAAAAATTAGTTACATGCAAACAAGTGGTTAGAATAAGATAAAACTTGGAGACATTGTAGAAAATAGGTTTACCTTTAATATAGCGCCAATCTTCCACCTTTGTGTGCCAGTCCACCTAGTAGGATCAGTCTTATTTCACAAAGTAAGCACCAGATGTTGCTGTTTGAGGGACACGCCCCTTTCTCTTACTATCGATCTAGTTTTAAATCTAAAATTTTCATAATTCTCCTCCTCACTCTAGCTCTCACTGCCTGTGTCACTTCAACTGGGAACGTATTCTTCATGAACGTATTCACAGTCTGAATTAACCAAAGTACCGATCACCTGTTGGGCGGTGAAAAGCCTAGACCTACATCACTTTCTTGTCGAAGCCGCTCATTTCATTGAGAATTTTCTGAATTATTTTTACATCAGACCACACAAAGAAATCTCAACACATGTGGAAAGTCATTCGCAATGACTAACAACAAAGTCTGATGGCGATTGGCTAGTTATTGTTAGTCTGTGACGTATATTTGTCCACGTACTACGTAAATTCCCGGAAAAGTGGGCCAGCGGTCTGGAAGGCTTAAAAGCTATATAAATCCTATATCGATGTACGGGTGTGAATCATGGACAATAAGTCAATTAGTCAAAACTTATTTGGAAGCTGCAGAAATGTGGTTTAATAGACAAATGCTGAGAATACCCTGGACAGATAAAAAGAGTAACAAAGATGTCTTGAAAGAAACTGGTGCATGAAGAGAACTAATTACACACATCAGAAAGAGACAATCTTCATTATTTGCTGGTGTGATGAGAAGGAGAAAACTGGAGTACATCATGACAGTAGAAAAGTTGGAAAGGAGGAGAGGCAGAGGGAGACTGAGAGACAAGATGCTGGACAGTTTGACATCATGGCATGGAAGAACACTCTGTGTCAGAGTTGAATGAAAGCACATGAGACAGAAGGTTGTGAATAGATGTGACTACCAACGCCACACAGCATGGATTTTTAGAAGAAGAAGAGTAAACGTAAAGTAAAAGTCCTCTTCACATGCCTTCATGCATATAGTGCTAGACCTGTATTTTTTTTAAACTAATCGGTAGTCGGTGAGGTTTGTTGTAAACTTCAGACTAGCCACCTTTACTTCCCTGGAATGTTCCTGATACTCATTTAATTTAAAGCTTGGTCTGGGAGCCGAGGTCATTTTTTGAAAAAGAGGCTGGTACCATTTGGATTTGAACCCCTGACCTTTGGACCAGCAGGCAAGCATATAGCCATGACATCTAATTTTTTTGTTGTTAGTTAGTTAGCTAGTTAGCTGGGTTATCATCATTGCACTCCGGACATGTCCATAGGTGCTCAGATCCTCCCCTCAGTATGAACCCCAACGTCCGATGGCTAATAGTACCAGTTCTGTGTTGATTAACAAGTCTCCTGGCGTGTCTGGTGTGTGTCTCGTTTTTTGCTATGCCGATCTTAATTCCCAAGTCTGCCATTCTGGCGAGTGATAAGGATTCACTGCCACCAAAGTCCTTTATCCTTCCCATTTCTCTGAGGGCATTGATAATATCAGCATGATCCATAGGCTGACCGTCGGTAGTCGGATCCAGCCAACCTATCAGCTTTTTCATTTCCATCTACACCTGCGTATCCCGGAACAAAAGTAAAGGTTAATTTTTTTTGTATAGTGGATGAATGAATTAAGAACTGCCATCAGTGGACCAGAACATTTCCACACATGCAGTCTCCTTCAAGAGGAATGTAGTCGGCCCACCTGTCAGTTTGAGCACTCTTCACAAAACAAATACCATATTGGGCACAAAAGAAAAAACATGAAATATACAGCTCACAATGTCACACCAAATACTTTTATCAGTAGCTAAATGACTGAATCTTTGTGTGCCGTGTTCAGAAGTAGGGAAAAAATAAGTCAGTAAAAATCTGTACTGTTGAAACAGCTGTATTTACTTTGTGGGTGAGGGGACTGATTTGTCTTTCACTAGTTTTTGAAATAGGATAGCAAAGGGCTATTATCCATGACCCAGAGAAGTTGAGAAGATAGAAATTTGATTTAACGTCCCAAAGAGGAAATAAATATATTTTAAAATTTATTGTTTGGCTAATATGTAGCTGACTGGTCTGTTACATGTGTAGCTGACTGGTCTGTTTACATGTGTAGTTGGTCTGTTACATGTGTAGTTGACTGGTCTGTTACATGTGTAGCTGACTGGTCTGTTGCATGTGTAGCTGACTGGTCTGTTACATGTGTAGCTGACTGGTCTGTTACATGTGTAGATGACTGGTCTGTTACATGTGTAGCTTGACTGGTCTGTTACATGTGTAGTTGACTGGTCTGTTACATGTGTAGTTGACTGGTCTGTTACATGTGTAGCTGACTGGTCTGTTACATGTGTAGCTGACTAGTCTTGCAAGTGTAGCTGGTCTGTTACATGTGTAGCTGACTGGTCTTTTGCATGTGTAGCTGGTCTGTTACATGTGTAGCTGACTGGTCTGTTACATGTGTAGCTGACTGGTCTGTTACATGTGTAGCTGGTCTGTCACATGTGTAGTTGACTGGTCTGTTACATGTGTAGTTGACTGGTCTGTTACATGTGTAGCTGACTGGTCTGTTACATGTGTAGCTGACTAGTCTGTTGCAAGTGTAGCTGGTCTGTTACATGTGTAGCTGACTGGTCTTTTGCATGTGTGGCTGGTCTGTTACATGTGTAGCTGACTGGTCTGTTACATGTGTAGCTGACTGGTCTGTTACATGTGTAGCTGACTGGTCTGTTACATGTGTAGCTGACTGGTCTGTTACATGTGTAGCTGACTGGTCTGTTACATGTGTAGCAGACTGGTCTGTTACATGTGTAGCTGACTGGTTTGTTACATGTGTAGCTGACTGGTCTGTTACATGTGTAGCTGACTGGTCTGTTACATGTGTAGCTGACTGGTCTGTTGCATGTGTAGCTGACTGGTCTGTTACATGTGTAGCTGACTGGTCTGTTACATGGGTAGTTGACTGGTCTGTTACATGTGTAGCTGACTGGTCTGTTGCATGTGTAGCTGGTCTGTTACATGTGTAGCTGACTGGTCTGTTACATGTGTAGTTGACTGGTCTGTTACATGTGTAGCTGACTGGTCTGTTGCATGTGTAGCTGGTCTGTTACATGTGTAGCTGACTGGTCTGTTACATGTGTAGCTGACTGGTCTGTTACATGTGTAGTTGACTGGTCTGTTACATGTGTAGTTGACTGGTCTGTTACATGTGTAGCTGACTGGTCTGTTACATGTGTAGCTGACTGGTCTGTTACATGTGTAGCTGACTGGTCTGTTACATGTGTAGCTGACTGGTCTGTTACATGTGTAGCTGACTGGTCTGTTACATGTGTAGCTGACTGGTCTGTTACATGTGTAGCTGACTGGTTTGTTACATGTGTAGCTGACTGGTCTGTTGCATGTGTAGCTGACTGGTCTGTTACATGTGTAGCTGACTGGTCTGTTGCATGTGTAGCTGACTGGTCTGTTACATGTGTAGCTGACTGGTCTGTTACATGGGTAGTTGACTGGTCTGTTACATGTGTAGCTGACTGGTCTGTTACATGTGTAGCTGACTGGTCTTTTGCATGTGTAGCTGGTCTGTTACATGTGTAGCTGACTGGTCTGTTACATGTGTAGCTGACTGGTGTGTTGCATGTGTAGCTGACTTGTCTGTTACATGTGTAGCTGACTGGTCTGTTACATGTGTAGCTGACTGGTCTGTTACATGTGTAGCTGACTGGTCTGTTACACGTGTAGCTGACTGGTCTGTTACATGTGTAGCTGACTGGTCTGTTACATGTGTAGCTGACTGGTTTGTTACATGTGTAGCTGACTGGTTTGTTACATGTGTAGCTGACTGGTCTGTTGCATGTGTAGCTGACTGGTCTGTTACATGTGTAGCTGACTGGTCTGTTGCATGTGTAGCTGACTGGTCTGTTACATGTGTAGCTGACTGGTCTGTTACATGGGTAGTTGACTGGTCTGTTGCATGTGTAGCTGGTCTGTTACATGTGTAGCTGACTGGTCTGTTACATGTGTAGTTGACTGGTCTGTTACATGTGTAGCTGACTGGTCTGTTACATGTGTAGCTGACTGGTCTGTTACATGTGTAGCTGACTGGTCTGTTACATGTGTAGCTGACTGGTCTGTTGCATGTGTAGCTGGTCTGTTACAGGTGTAGCTGACTGGTCTGTTACATGTGTAGCTGACTGGTCTGTTACATGTGTAGCTGACTGGTCTGTTACATGTGTAGCTGACTGGTTTGATACATGTGTAGCTGACTGGTCTGTTGCATGTGTAGCTGACTGGTCTGTTACATGTGTAGCTGACTGGTCTGTTGCATGTGTAGCTGACTGGTCTGTTACATGTGTAGCTGACTGGTCTGTTACATGGGTAGCTGACTGGTCTGTTACATGTGTAGCTGACTGGTCTGTTACATGTGTAGCTGACTGGTCTTTTGCATGTGTAGCTGACTGGTCTGTTACATGTGTAGCTGACTGGTCTGTTACATGTGTAGCTGACTGGTGTGTTGCATGTGTAGCTGACTGGTGTGTTGCATGTGTAGCTGACTGGTCTGTTACATGTGTAGCTGACTGGTCTGTTACATGTGTAGCTGACTGGTCTGTTACATGTGTAGCTGACTGGTCTGTTACATGTGTAGCTGACTGGTCTGTTGCATGTGTAGCTGACTGGTCTGTTGCATGTGTAGCTGACTGGTCTGTTGCATGTGTAGCTGACTGGTCTGTTGCATGTGTAGCTGACTGGTCTGTTGCATGTGTAGCTGACTGGTCTGTTACATGTGTAGCTGACTGGTCTGTTACATGTGTAGCTGACTGGTCTGTTACATGTGTAGTTGACTGGTCTGTTACATGTGTAGCTGACTGGTCTGTTGCATGTGTAGCTGGTCTGTTACATGTGTAGTTGACTGGTCTGTTGCATGTGTAGCTGGTCTGTTACATGTGTAGCTGACTGGTCTGTTACATGTGTAGCTGACTGGTCTGTTACATGTGTAGTTGACTGGTCTGTTACATGTGTAGCTGACTGGTCTGTTGCATGTGTAGCTGGTCTGTTACATGTGTAGTTGACTGGTCTGTTGCATGTGTAGCTGGTCTGTTACATGTGTAGCTGACTGGTCTGTTGCATGTGTAGCTGGTCTGTTACATGTGTAGCTGACTGGTCTGTTGCATGTGTAGCTGGTCTGTTACATGTGTAGCTGACTGGTCTGTTACAGGTGTAGCTGACTGGTCTGTTACATGTGTAGTTGACTGGTCTGTTACATGTGTAGTTGACTGGTCTGTTACATGTGTAGCTGACTGGTCTGTTACATGTGTAGCTGACTGGTCTGTTACATGTGTAGCTGACTGGTCTGTTACATGTGTAGCTGACTGGTCTGTTACATGTGTAGCTGACTGGTCTGTTACATGTGTAGCTGACTGGTCTGTTACATGTGTAGCTGACTGGTCTGTTACATGTGTAGCTGACTGGTCTGTTGCATGTGTAGCTGACTGGTCTGTTACATGTGTAGCTGACTGGTCTGTTGCATGTGTAGCTGACTGGTCTGTTACATGTGTAGCTGACTGGTCTGTTACATGGGTAGTTGACTGGTCTGTTACATGTGTAGCTGACTGGTCTGTTACATGTGTAGCTGACTGGTCTGTTACATGTGTAGCTGACTGGTCTGTTACATGTGTAGCTGACTGGTCTGTTACATGTGTAGCTGACTGGTCTGTTACATGTGTAGCTGACTGGTCTGTTACATGTGTAGTTGACTGGTCTGTTACATGTGTAGCTGACTGGTCTGTTACATGTGTAGCTGACTGGTCTGTTACATGTGTAGCTGACTGGTCTGTTGCACGTGTAGTTGGTCTGTTACATGTGTAGCTGACTGGTCTGTTACATGGGTAGTTGACTGGTCTGTTACATGTGTAGCTGACTGGTCTGTTGCATGTGTAGCTGGTCTGTTACATGTGTAGCTGACTGGTCTGTTACATGTGTAGTTGACTGGTCTGTTACATGTGTAGCTGACTGGTCTGTTGCATGTGTAGCTGGTCTGTTACAGGTGTAGCTGACTGGTCTGTTACATGTGTAGCTGACTGGTCTGTTACATGTGTAGTTGACTGGTCTGTTACATGTGTAGCTGACTGGTCTGTTGCATGTGTAGCTGACTGGTCTGTTACATGTGTAGCTGACTGGTCTGTTACATGTGTAGCTGACTGGTCTGTTACATGTGTAGCTGACTGGTCTGTTGCACGTGTAGTTGGTCTGTTACACGTGTAGTTGGTCTGTTACATGTGTAGCTGACTGGTCTGTTACATGGGTAGTTGACTGGTCTGTTACATGTGTAGCTGACTGGTCTGTTGCATGTGTAGCTGGTCTGTTGCATGTGTAGCTGACTGGTCTGTTACATGTGTAGTTGACTGGTCTGTTACATGTGTAGCTGACTGGTCTGTTGCATGTGTAGCTGGTCTGTTACAGGTGTAGCTGACTGGTCTGTTACATGTGTAGCTGACTGGTTTGTTACATGTGTAGTTGACTGGTCTGTTACATGTGTAGCTGACTGGTCTGTTACATGTGTAGCTGACTGGTCTGTTATATGTGTAGCTGACTGGTCTGTTACATGTGTAGCTGACTGGTCTGTTACATGTGTAGCTGACTGGTCTGTTACATGTGTAGCTGACTGGTTTGTTACATGTGTAGCTGACTGGTCTGTTGCATGTGTAGCTGACTGGTCTGTTACATGTGTAGCTGACTGGTCTGTTGCATGTGTAGCTGACTGGTCTGTTGCATGTGTAGCTGACTGGTCTGTTACATGTGTAGCTGACTGGTCTGTTACATGGGTAGTTGACTGGTCTGTTACATGTGTAGCTGACTGGTCTGTTACATGTGTAGCTGACTGGTCTGTTACATGTGTAGCTGACTGGTCTGTTACATGTGTAGCTGACTGGTCTGTTACATGTGTAGCTGACTGGTCTGTTACATGTGTAGCTCACTGGGCTGTTACATGTGTAGCTGACTGGTCTGTTACATGTGTAGCTGACTGGTCTGTTACATGTGTAGTTGACTGGTCTGTTACATGTGTAGCTGACTGGTCTGTTACATGTGTAGCTGACTGGTCTGTTACATGTGTAGCTGACTGGTCTGTTGCATGTGTAGTTGGTCTGTTACATGTGTAGTTGGTCTGTTACATGGGTAGTTGACTGGTCTGTTACATGTGTAGCTGACTGGTCTGTTACATGTGTAGCTGACTGGTCTGTTACATGTGTAGCTGACTGGTCTGTTACATGGGTAGTTGACTGGTCTGTTACATGTGTAGTTGACTGGTCTGTTACATGGGTAGTTGACTGGTCTGTTACATGTGTAGCTGACTGGTCTGTTACATGTGTAGCTGACTGGTCTGTTACATGTGTAGTTGACTGGTCTGTTACATGTGTAGCTGACTGGTCTGTTGCATGTGTAGCTGGTCTGTTACATGTGTAGCTGGTCTGTTACATGTGTAGCTGACTGGTCTGTTACATGTGTAGTTGACTGGTCTGTTACATGTGTAGCTGACTGGTCTGTTACATGGGTAGTTGACTGGTCTGTTACATGTGTAGCTGACTGGTCTGTTACAGATGTCACTAGCACCATATATATAATTTGGTGCTAGGAGCGGAAAATAGGCTCTTTTTTCTATTTGACATGCTGAAACCCCAAGCAGAGGTGAATCTTCTCCTGACTGCCTGCAATGACCCTGTGTGAGTTCTTGAGCTTCTTTGTTGGGAGTAATTAAGCAGACCCACTGGATCTTTCAAGCATGTTTACAAGCTAATTATTGACTTTTTTGGGTGTTTTGTTTCAAGTCGGAGTACATCTGTCTGAGAGATGAGGAATCACCGATCTGCATACAAACAAGTCAGATCTGTTAAATAGGGGTGCATGCAAAACTCAAAATTCTGGAAGAAGACAGAGAGAATTGACTTTTAAACAGCATCCTGTCCCCGAAAGCTGAGGTATTTTTACCATGTTAAACGCCATGGTGGCTGGAGACAATGGTGATGGAGGGCACAGTTTCTGGCAGAGTCAGACCTCAATGAAGGTTAATACAAGACAGTGAAGATACATTGGCTGTTCAACCTGGAGAACATCCAGAAGGGGATGAACAACCAGGGCTTTCCACAGGAGTTTACAGCCTGTGAACGTACGTAAGAAGAAGATTGCTTGCTGCTGTGGTCTTGACCCCAGCTTAGTAAAATGGATGCTGGAGATATCTCTGAAAGAGGGGTAGTTATGAAAGGCACTGGTAACTTTACCTCATAATCATCATCAATTATCAGCAGGTCCTTCACAGAGCATAGCTCTTGTCATGGTACGCTTAAAAGTCTCTCTTTGTCTAGCCAGTTCTTTAGCCCTATGTGCTTTCATAGTCAGTGTGTCTTCTGCGTCTTGTATCTGCGTTCACGGAGGTCTGCCTCTGCCTTGTTTTCCAAAAACTGTAACCTCTAACACCATTCTCTCCAGGCCACCATGAGTTTAACATTGCCACAATAACTCAGCTTTTGGGACAGGATGCTGTTTATGAGCCAATTCTCCTCGATGCTCAGATCATCTAGGATGTCTTGTGGTTTTTTTTTTCGCTTTCATAATACTCTGACCTTTTAAATGCAAGAGAGAAACAACCACCACAAAAGCAGCAAGAACTGTAATCTTTTATACTGTTTTCATATTTTCAGATTCTCTCCGGTTTAAACCTGATACAGAGAAAGTGTCTGCAAATGTTATTCAGGGAAAGGTAATAGTTTTAGAAATAACATTAGTTAAAATATATTAGTGACTGACTGACTGATGTTCAACCCCACCAGGACCACACAATGAGTGATAAACACCCAGTAACACAAAATGCAACCATTGGGATGAGAATCATCTGGGCTCAATTCCCAGACAACCCCATTCAACCCGTAGGTTATGTTTAGGGCCCCCAATGACAGCTGAGGTGAGGCTTAAAAATTGCATCCCATATTGGTGTGACGTAAATCAAATGTAAAAGTGTCGAGCAAGAGAGTTAATGTTAGAAATCATATTTAAGAAACATTGTGTCTCGTAAATTTAGCTATAACAGGATGATATTTGATGATAAAATACAGCTAAGCCTTCAACCCTCATCTCTTTAAGAAAGATACTAAAAAGCAGGTGGCAAGACAGGGTCCCATATACTATCGTATTCAATAGAGATGGCATTCCCAACTTTGATACTATCCTGATGCAGTCATTGATTGATGGACTTGTCACGTCATTCGCTTGCCAGACCATTGGCTCCCAGAAATAAATAATCTTGTGTGGTGAGATACAAGGAGGTGAACCCTCTCATGGTGTCCAGAAAGAATGCTTCAAGGACACGCTAAAGGCATCACTAAACATAAAGCCTTTAATATAGACCCTGACACTTGGAAGGCTGCTGCACAAGACCAAACTTCATGGCGAACGTCTATCCGAAGAGGGGCTTGATGCAACAGGGCTAGAAAGATCCATACAACTGGCCTCTTACCTACACTGTTTCCTGCCCTCACTGTCTTAGATACTTCTAGGCCCAATTTGGGCTTATAAGTTCCCTCAGGACTCACAGAACTCAATTATAGTTATTATGACACATGAAAGAAAGAGTGGTCATCGCCACTTGTGATGGATGAACAACAACTAGACTGCCCAAGATTTATCAACACTCATCCAGCCACATCGAACCGATTAGTTTGAAACTACACCAAAACAGCTGTTATGTGGTTAATTTCTGAAATTTGTCTGTCTTTTATTATCATCCTTGAGATATTAATACCACAGAATGGAATCCATGAGGAGAAAAGATTAAAGAGTTGTAAAGACAAATCATAAATCTCTTTGATTTCACTATCGCAGTGTGGTTTTTGTGTGTGATGCGGAATATCTCTGCAACAACATATCAGTTTAATTTGAGTATCAGTTTAATTTCGATAATACAAGGTTTTAATGATAAAATACATCTTGTTGATATAATGTCTCTTTAATTTCAGTATTACAGCGTGGCTTTTGATGAGAGTGGAAATCTTCAGTCCATCACAAACTTAACAACAGGCCTCACATACCCCATTAGCCAGAACTTCCTGTACTACAAGGCTTTTCCCTGGCAACAAATCTGATAGCCAAGCATCTGGGGCATACATCTTTAGGCCTGCAGACAACACGCCAGTCAGTGTACCACTGACAACTTGGAATGGCATTTACAGGGTAGGTTTACCTGGATACCTGGCTACTTACTGAACCATACAAGAGTTTCACTTGTCATCATCATCATTGTGGAGCAGGTTCTTTGCAGAACCTCACTCTCATCACGTCTGCCTGAAAGAAATTCAGCCTCTCGCCAGTTCTGCCGCCTTGTGCACTTTCATATTCAAGAAGTCACTTATATTCTTTGCCCATCTTTGTGTTGGTCGACCCTTGCCCATCTTTCCTGGTACCATGCCTTTTGCTATTTTTTTTTCCAGTCCATCATAGTGCTTGGTGTAGCAAGAATATTTCAGCGGTTCATGAGCCAATCCTCCTTGATGTTCAGATCTTTTAGAATGTTAGTATGTGTTTTCTTCTTTGTCCGTGGCATTCCAAGAATCTTTCTATAGCATTTAAGATCAAAAGCACCTATTTTTTTCCTTAAGGACTAGGAGATAGTCCATGGCTGCCATTCGTATGTTCTACAGGGAATATGTATGCTCTCAAAATTTTAATTTTGATTTTCTTGCTGGTGATAACATAGACTTTTAATGTTGTCTGATCTTTGTATCGTAACACCAACAGTAGTACAACTTCAAGAACATGTTAATATACTCTTCAGTCAGAATGCAGCAACGATGATTTGAAGATCAATGAAGAGAAAACCTATTATGGTTGCTTGTTCTCTCCTATTCTGCATATATGTCCAAACATGGGATCCACTTGAGTTTGTGAGGCCCGGGTTTCAAGATCCTGACATATTGTCTAATTGCAGGCTGTCCCTTCTTGTCACTTGGATCACCTTTCTCAGATATCTCCTTTCTGAAGCCTAAAGCTGGCTTATGTAAGCTGTTGTCATTGCCCATGACTCACACCCATATGTAACAACTGGCACATATGTAGATTGGATTTTCATCACCCTGCCTATTTCTCTTTGGTGAGAAACCCTCGAGTTATGACCTGGAAAAGTGTCCCAGCAGCTGCTTTTCCTACATATACTTACACACACACACTCACACATGCATGCGCATGCTCATGTGTATATAGTCCTTTGAAACCTTTCCCTCATTCCAGACATTAGTGTTCTATTGTGCTATAAGGATGCATAGGACTCACAGCCCATGGCGATGGCCATTGTGACTAGCAAGACCCGCCTGTGTTAAGAATAGCCTTCCACAATTAGAGCATGGAATTTCAGGACCATTGTTGCCATCACATGAATGTAGCGGGCATCTTCTGAGACATTCAGCTCTCAGTATGTCTGCAATCATTGTTTCCTTTATTTCCATTCTGTTCCTGGTTTTTTTCCTCCATGCAACACTGTCTGTGGCATTTTATTCCCAGGAATCTACCTCAGTACCTGTATCATTCATGTCTCGCTTGTACGTGTCTTTATATCTTTTTATATATATATGTACGTATGTGTATATGGATACAATTATGTGTCTTTTTAGGGCTCTGTGGTTCAAGAAGCCTACCAACAGTTCTCCAGCTGGGCTTCCCAAGTTGTACGAGTGTATGCAGACAAGCCATACGTGGAAGTGCAGTGGACTATTGGGCCTATTCCCACAGAGTAAGCTGAAGTTTCTAAGAGTTTATAGAACCAGTTTCCCCATGTGGCTTCCACGATTCTACATTTTGGGGAAAAGAATAAACCAGTCGTCCTCCTAGCAAGCTTATCGCAAATATTGGCCAATCAGGGCGTTTCTTTTGCAGAAGGCATCTGCCTGTGGGGCGAGGAGCCAACAGTCTGCTCACAAAAAAGCCACATCTGTAAAACAGCTGTGCACGCAAATCTAAATTATAGAACACGACTTAAGTCTAAAAGTAGATGAATAACCAGAGCTTTCTGCTGGAGTTTTCAGCCGGCAAATGTAAAGAAGAAGAAAAGTAGAACCATTCCTGATGTATTGAAGGAAATCATGGATAGTCAGCAGACTGGTGAGAAATTATGCGGAGGCTGCTGAAATGGGTGTTCACAGAAGAATCTTCTTCTTCAGTGATAAACTGAATCCACTATGGGCTGTAAACTGGGGGGTGTCAGCTCAGGGTCTCTCAAGCTTAGTGCCAGATTTTCAAGTTTTGTTTGTTCGTCCAGATGTCCTCTATATTCTGTCCCTGTGCAGTGTCACATGACCTGTAGTGTGAAAGTGGCGACGATATTTAGTCTAAAAGTAGCACAAATATTTAGTGTAAAAGTAGCACAGATATTTAGTGTGAAAGTAGCACAGATATTTAGTCTAAAAGTAGCACAGATATTTAGTGTGAAAGTAGCACAGATATTTAGTCTAAAAGTAGCACAGATATTTAGTCTAAAAGTAGCACAGATATTTAGTCTAAAAGTAGCACAGATATTTAGTCTAAAAGTAGCACATATATTTAGTGTGAAAGTAGCACAAATATTTAGTGTGAAAGTAGCACAGATATTTAGTGTGAAAGTAGCACAGATATTTAGTCTAAAAGTAGCGAAGATATTTAGTGTGAAAGTAGCAGAGATATTTAGTGTGAAAGTAGCAGAGATATTTAGTGTGAAAGTAGCAGAGATATTTAGTGTGAAAGTAGCACAGATATTTAGTGTAAAAGTAGCACAGATATTTGGTCTAAAAGTAGCGAAGATATTTAGTCTAAAAGTAGCGAAGATATTCAGTGTGAAAGTAGCAGAGATATTTAGTGTGAAAGTAGCACAGATATTTAGTGTGAAAGTAGCATAGATATTTGGTATGAAAGTAAAGTAGCACAGATATTTAGTGTAAAAGTAGCACAGATATTTGGTATGAAAGTAAAGTAGCACAGATATTTGGTATGAAAGTAGCACATATATTTGGTATGAAATTAGCACAGATATTTAGTGTGGAAAAAGCACATATTTTAGTGTGGAAAAAGCACATTTTTAAGTATGGAAGTAGCACCGATATTTTGTATGAAAGAAGCACAGATATTTAGGGTGAAAGTAGCACAGATATTTGGTATGAAAGAAGCACAGATATTTTGTATAAAAGAAGCACAGATATTTAGGGTGAAATTAGCACAGATATTTAGTGTGGAAAAAGCACAAATTTTAGTGTGGAAAAAGCACATATTTTAGTGTGGAAAAAGCACATTTTTAAGTGTGGAAAAAGCACATATTTAGTATGAAAGTAGCACAGATATTTAGTATGAAAGTAGCACATATATTGTGTATGAAAGTAGCAGAGATATTTAGTGTGAAAGTAGCAGAGATATTTAGTGTGAAAGTAGCAGAGATATTTAGTGTGAAAGTAGCACAGATATTTAGTGTGAAAGTAGCACAGATATTTAGTCTAAAAGTAGCGAAGATATTCAGTGTGAAAGTAGCAGAGATATTTAGTGTGAAAGTAGCAAAGATTTTCAGTGTGAAAGTAGCGAAGATATTCAGTGTGAAAGTAGCAGAGATATTTAGTGTGAAAGTAGCAAAGATTTTTAGTGTGAAAGTAACACAGATATTTAATGTGAAAGTAGCACAGATATTTAGTGTGAACGTAGCACAGATATTTAGTGTAAAAGTAGCACAGATATTTGGTATGAAAGCAAAGTAGCACAGATATTTAGTGTGAAAGTAGCACAGATATTTAGTGTGAAAGTAGCACAGATATTTAGTGTGAAAGTAGCACAGATATTTAGTGTAAAAGTAGCACAGATATTTGGTATGAAAGTAAAGTAGCACAGATATTTGGTATGAAAGTAGCACAGATATTTGGTATGAAATTAGCACAGATATTTAGTGTGGGAAAAGCACATATTTTAGTGTGGAAAAAGCACATTTTTAAGTATGGAATTAGCACCAATATTTTGTATGAAAGAAGCACAGATATTTAGGGTGAAAGTAGCACAGATATTTGGTATGAAAGAAGCACAGATATTTTGTATAAAAGAAGCACAGATATTTAGGGTGAAATTAGCACAGATATTTAGTGTGGAAAAAGCACAAATTTTAGTGTGGAAAAGGCACATATTTTAGTGTGGAAAAGGCACATATTTTAGTGTGGAAAAGCACATATTTAGTATGAAAGTAGCACAGATATTTAGTATGAAAGTAGCACATATATTTTGTATGAAAGTAGCACATATATTTAGGGTGAAAGTAGCACAGATATTTAGGGTGAAAGTAGCACATATATTTTGTATGAAAGTAGCACAGATATTTAGCATGCAAGTAAAGGAAATATCTGTAGTGTTAAAGTAGCACAGATATTTAGTATGAGAGTAGAACACATATTTCGTATGAAAGTAAAAATAATACCTGAAGTGCGCGAAAGTGTCACAAATATTTAATGTAAAAGTATCACAAATATTTAGTATTTTTTTTTTTTTTTTTTTACGTATCCAGAAACCATGAGTTGTAAACCCTTTGGCTCGGTACTATGGATATCGCAACCCTTCGGCCTTGATTCCATTATAGGTACCGTTAATCTGGGAGAAATGTGGCTTTTCTGCCTACCCCCGGGAGTGAACCCGGACCACAAGGAGTTCGTCACCCGGCCGCCGCGAAAGTCCGGTTTAACCAACTTCGCTAGAGAGCCGGGCAAATATTTAGTATTAAAGTAGCCAAAATATTTGCTATGAAAGTAAAAGAAATATCTAGTTTTAAGTAGCACAGAAATGTAGCATGAAAATAGCAAATGCATTTAGTATTAAAGTAGCAGAAATATTTACTATGAAAGTAGCACAAATATTCAGAAGGAAAGTAGCACAAATATTTAGTATCAAAGTAGCACATCTATTTATTATGAAAGAAGCAGTATTTATAATCTTTAAGTAGTGTGTATATCTGTAGCATTAAAAGTAAAGTAACGGACCCTTTTCATGATTTTAGCATATCGGACATACGGTGACAGGCCTATATTTTTATA